GAACATATGGGGGGAGTTATGGGGTTTTATATTTAACCATAGCTTCTACAGGGGTACATGACGCTATACTTTCTTTTATATATTATCAATGCGCTGGAATTCCGTCACAAGGTGACATAGTAGGTGCCAATTGTGGTAACTCCCTAATTGGAAGCTCAATATTTTTATGGGCTATTTTTAAGGAAGGAAACTCGTTCGATGCGTAATCCAAAGCTATTTATTAATAATTAATATTGTTAGTATGACTCAAAGGTATGTTGACTTGTGAATTGTATGGCGAACATGTTTTAATTATTTTTATTATTTCTAGGATATTCATGTTAGTGTGGTGCATGTGTACTCAGCTTTTGCTAATTCATACTTTTGTGTTTGCGTTTGGCTTTCCTTTGGATTGGCCCTACTATGACCCATTTATATGGTGAGTAGAAGGGTTGAAATAAAGAGGAAGTAAAAAACATGAAGGGAATGAGTGTAGACTATAGAGAGTTACTTGTTATGCTTTCTTAGTTTTATTTATTGAATTGTTGATTATTATTTGTGGACTAACTTTGTTATGTTTTATTTTTTAGGTTGGTTTTTGAAGGGCCATGTTTACATTGGTTCCAACTTGTGAATGTTTTATTTAAATTACGTTTTGAGGTTGTGAACTCAAGTTTTATTTTAAAAAGTTGGTTTTTAGTTTTAGACTTCCGCCGTGTGAATTTGAAAATAGCCTTAGCCGTTATCACGGTGGCGGTAATATTTTGGTTATTTCCTAAAATGAGTTTTATTAAGGTAAAAAGAGTATCTTAAAAAGGAGGAAATTCCCAGGGTATTACAGGTAGGGGGTGACCACAACGAAATTTTTAGTTATGAAGAGAAGGTAGGGGGGCTTATTTGGTAGGAGGGAATTTCTGAATATCGGGCTGCTCTTGATGATTGTAGGCTGAGAGACCTTAGCTTTGAGGGTTAGTGGTTTACTTGGGAGAAAGGTTTAACTGAAAACACTTTGATTCGAGAGTGACTTGACTGATATTGTGGCAATGAAGAGTGGTTTCGTTTGTTCCGTGAGGCTTTAGTTGAACATTTGGTGAGGGTTAAATCTGATCATTCTGCAATCTTGGCTAGGCTCAAAAGGCCAAAGAAGAAACGCAAAAGAGGGAAGCAGCACTTTAAATTTGAGACGGCTTGGCTCCTTGATGCAACTTGTGAACTAACTGTTCGTGAATCATGGAAGGAGTCTGCTGGTCGTGATATTTCAGAGAGGTTAGAAGGTTACTGAATGCTCTTCGGATGTGGAGTGTAAAAAAGTTTGAGAACATCGATAAGCAAATAAGTGATACAGAGAAGGCATTGAGGGATGCGCAAGGTGGGGATATGTCTAGCGAGAACCTTGAATTTGCTCAACTCTAGAGGCAAAACTTGAGGAGCTTGAAAACAAGCAAGAGGCTTACTAGTATCTCAGATTGAGAGTTTTTGAAATTAGAGATGGAGAACGGAATACAAGCTATTTTCACTATAAGGCTTCCCAAAGGCGGAAATGGAATGAAATCAAAGGGCTTATTAATGAAAATGGGGTCTGGAGGGAAGAAGAAGAGGATTTTAAAGACATTGCTCAAAACTTTTTTGCAAGCCGTTTTACTTCATCCGAGCCTTCTCTGGCCGACTGTGATAAGGTCCTAGAAGCAGTTTCTTTGAAAATTTCAGTTGAATAGAATGAATTCCTACTCCGACCATATACCAAGGATGAGATCCATGTGGCCATTTGTGCAATGCATCCCTGCAAAGCTCCAGGACCCGACAGACTTCATGCCATTATTATTGGGGATAAGGTGTTAGACTCGGTCAGCAAAATTCTCCACGGTTGGTCTTCCTCTAAGCCGGTTGATAATACTAATATTGCTCTAATTCCGAAAGTTAAATCCCCTATGCATATCTTAGAGTTTCGTCCAATTGCTTTGTGTAATGTCCTTTACAATTGCTTCTAAGGCTATAGTTATGCATTTGAAATCTATCTTACCGGATATTATCTCAAAAAATCAAAGTGCATATGTTCCAGGTAGGCTAATTACATACGGACAATGCTTTGATTGCAATGAAGATTTTCCATACCATGAAGAAGCGTAGTACAAGAAAGAAAGGGACTATAGCCCTGAAACTTGATATGAGCAAAGCTTATGACATAGTAGAATGGTATATTATGGAAAAATTATTGTCAAAAATGGGTTTTGCAAATCAATGGATTAGATTTTTGATGGACTATGTCTCGATGGTCTCTTACTCTTTTATTATTAACCGCTATGTGGTTGGATCGGTTGTTCCCTCTAGAGGTTTGAGGCAAGGAGACCCTCTCTCTCCTTATCTTTTCATTATGGTTGCAGATGCATTTTTAGCTCTAATTGAAAAGGCTTCAAATCATAGTTTAGTTCATGGAGCAGGGGCGAGCAGGAACGGACCAAAAATCTCTCATCTCTTCTTTGCTGATGACAATTTGCTTTTTTAAAGAGCCAATCGTGAGGAATGCTCAACGATAGTTGATTTACTCAACATTTATGAAGTAGCTTCCGGACAGAAATTGATTATGAAAAATCGGGGGTCTCTTTGAGAAAAGGCGTAGAGGCGTCAAAACAGGATGAATTGGTTGATTTACTGAAAATGCGGCTTGTCAACAAACATGACAAGTATCTTGGTATTCCATTTGTTATCGGACAATCTAAGAGACTGGTTTTTGCAGCTCTAAAGGATAGGATCTAGAAAAAATTGCTAGGCTATAAGGAGAAACTTTCATTGATAGCAGGGAAGGAAGTTCTCATAAAATTAGTGATGCTATACCGACTTACCTAATGGGGTCTATAAGTTGCCTAGTAGTGTTATTGACGAGTTAAGATCACCTACGACAAAATTTTTCTGGGGTAATTCGACAGTAGGAGGAGAGTTCACTGGATTAATTGGGAAGCCTTATGCAAGCCAAAATTTTCGGGGGCATGGTGTTTCAGAGTTTTGGGGGTAGTTAATGAGGCACTCCTTGGAAAGCAAGCGCGGAGACTCATAACCAAGCCTAATACTCTCTTTGGGCGTGTAATGAAGGGTAAATACTACTCGAAATCTGATTTTTTGAGCTCCTCTTTGGGTTTTAATTGTAGCTATCCTTGGCGTAGCATATGGGGTCCGAAGTCTCTGGTCAAGGAAGGTCTAATTTGGCGTGTAGGGGATGGATCAAAAATTAAATTTTTTTCAGTGATCCTTGGTTAGCTGATGAAAATGGGAGGTTTATTTTATCCCTATTGTTGATGGTCTTTACTTTGTGAATGACTTAATTGATGAGAGAACAAAAGACTGGAATTTTGATCTCATATTGACGTCTTTCGTCGAAAGAGATGCCAGGTGCATATTGGCTATTCTCCTAAGTCCCCAAAATCCGGTTGATCGGTTGACTTGGGCTTTCTCTCAGATTGGTAATTACTCCGTGAAATCTGCATATATGCTTGGAATGTCCTGTGACTTGGATGCCTTCCACCAAGCATGGGTTCCACTTTGGAGCCTTGACACCATCTCAAAAGTCAAGCACTTCCTATGACATGTATGCACTAATTCTCTTCCAACCAGCTCTCTACTATACAGTAGGCACATGAAAGAATCAGAATTATGTCCCTGGTGTGCGAACTCTCCTGAAACCTTGCATCACACCCTCTTCAGTTGCCCTGCTGTGCAAGACTTGTGGTATGAATGTGACTATTCTGAGCTCATGGTGGTTTACCCGTGTTTCGATTTTCAGAAGGTGCTGATGAGTTGAACGAATGGCAGTAAAAAGAAGTGTCTTATGGGGGGTGCGCTAATGTGGCAAATTTGGTACCGTAACAATTATAAAATTTTTAACAATGCTGAAGTGCCGCATTTGGTGGTGAAGGACAAAGTTATGCGCCTGGTTGAAGATTGTGGTAAGTATACTAGTCAAATCTATGGTACTGCTCGTAAGAAATCAGGAAAAAGCCCGAAGAAATGGCACCTTCCCCCATCTAATTTTGTTAAAATCAATTGTGATGCCAGCCTCAAAGATAAGGGGTGGGTTAGGCTTGGTGTTACTGCCATAAATGCCAAAGGGGAGGTATTGTTTGTAGGAGTACACCGCATCCGTAGCTACTGGCCACCTGAGATTGCTTAGTGTAAGGCCCTGCACTTTGGTGTGAAGCTCGCTCATCTCTATGGTTATAAGAGGGTTATTTTGGAGTTTGGCTGCCAGATTGCTATCACAAGACTTTCTAAGGCTACGACTTTTCTTACGGATCTAGATTAAGTTCTTGATATTCTTTTTCTTAGTTCTAATTTTGATTTTATTTCTTGGTCTCATGTTAGAAGGGATGGGAATTCCGTTGCTTTTCACCTCGCTAGTTTAGTACCTTTCGGAATTGAACAAGTTTGGGAGCATTTATGCCCTTCTATAATTTCTCCTTATGTTCTAATGGACAAGTTATGTTGTCCATTGATTAATAAAATGTGGTAGTAAACGTCTTTAAAAAAAAAGATAAGTAAAAATAATTAAGGGTATGGTGGTAATTTTACACAAAAAATTTACTAAAAGAGGAAACTTTTGGTTTGTTGCACATAATGTGTAACATCCGTTTTTGAAAAATGTTGCAGATAATATGAAACGGAGGATATATTATTGTTAGTATTATTGGACCTAAATTTTATTTTTTTTACTTTCAGAGGTGATCAATAGTTCAGGGTGACCCACAGACTTGGAAATCCGAATCCGCCACTGCCGAAGTCCTACTAGTTACAAACACTTCCCTCATATTTGCCACAGGAGCTTGGCTCAGCCAAGCAACGTGCTGGACCAGCACAGGGGCATATTTAGAATTTCACGCTTAATGAATGTAGAAAGTACAATATGCAAATACAATATACATATACCTACCTATACACATATAAAAAGCTTTCACTTTGTTTCCCGTTATTCATTTTCATAAGCTTCCCTCTTGGTTTTCATTTCGCGGCACTGTTCTTCCTTTTCTAAGCAGGCAATCTTCTCTTTGATTTCGTGTTTCCGGCTAGGCTTCTCAAGGTTTCAATAATGGAGCGGCGACAAGGTTAGTTCTTCTCTTTGATTTCAAACATTGTGCACTTTTGTTTGAGAAAATTTGTGCGAATTTTCGTCTGATTGTTCTGGATTTCTATGGTTAGCTGTAGATGAAATGTTCTTTGTGTTTGGTTGGCGAATTTCTAGTTAGGGTTATTAAAATGTTGCAGACTTAGGGAATTAGGGGCTTAGGGTTTTCAGTCGTTTTGATTAGATTGCATGCAAGCTAATAGAGTTGAATTTGAGTATGAATCAGTTGAATTATACTTTGAATTAGTTGAATTATTATCGAATTAAGTTTATATGATTCGAATATCCTCGAATTTAGGTACTATTGAAGTGTTCTTGAATTTTGGATGTATCAAAGCTTGAGGTTTGGGCAAAAGGAGAAGTTTAGGTTGGTGGCTGGCGTTTGGGAAGGTACTCTGTTTTTGAGGGTGCAAGGCTGATTGGTGAGTGGAGAAGGAAGAACAAGGAGATGCGGTGTAGGATTGTGTTGTGGGGTGAAGGTTAAGGGGCTAGCATAGGGGCATGAGTTTCGACTCAAGAACTTGAAGAATTGTTCGAGACAGTCTCCTAGGCTTTACAACCATCAGTTGACCGAGACTGTTTGTGTGGTTGGGGAGGGCATGTCTATATTGTGTAAGTGGAATCCCTTGTACCCTATTTTCTTTATTGGACATTTTTTTGATACTACTGCATAATACTCATCTTATGTGCTGCTTGGATGGTCTAGTGCTTTCCAACTCTATAGAGCACTAAATCCCTGGAGACTCCATTTAGTTGTGTTAGGTTGTTTGTTTTAGCTTGTGTCACGGAATCTTGGAATTGGTTAGTAGGAGTACTAAACTGTCCCTTCACCTTGGATATGAGGACAACATAAAAGGATTGCTCGATTTGTATGAGGGTGCTTAATGGGGGATATTCAATGGAATTGGGCTAATATTTAATCTGAATTTTGGCTTTAAGGAGGACAACCTATGGTACCTATCCTCTCTCCTCTAGTTTTGCTCTTACTTCTTTTTGCTCATTATAATATATTTTTCTTAAGTTCATGGTTGTATGGTATTTTTCTTATTTTCTCAAGTGTGGCTCTTCCATTTTTCCTATCCATATGTTAAATTTGAAAACATATCCTCTTTGTCTGCTAAAGGAACTGGACCATTTCGCAGATGTAGAGTTGTAATTGCTTGAAAAAGGATTTTTTATTTTCTTGCAGGAACTTTAAATAAGCTAATTGTAATTTGAGAAGCTAATGACACATCTAGAATTGTCTTTTCTTTTAATTTTGCCAAAGTTTGATGACTTCATTTCCCACCAATATGGGCATAAATTCTATACCTTTTTTTTTTAGAAAAATTTATACATATTTCATTGCTTTCATTGCGTAACTTAACTGGAGTTTGAGAATTGTTAGTTGTAACTGACCAAAGTTTGATTATATGCTTGGCACTGGATAGTGGACATTATGTTTACGTTGATAAGAACAAGTGTTCAAATAATTGAAAGTGAGGACAAAGTGATTAACTATCAGTGTATGGAACAAAGAGTAATTGATCAAGTAATGATTACACATGAATTTGAAAATTTAAGTGGAATAGGAAGTCCAATAAAAGGGAACAAGGGTATTTGAGTCAACTTTCTGCTTTAGATCAGAGGCCCATTTGACACTAATAATTCACTTTCTAAGTCTTTTTATGCTGAGTTAGTAGTTCAGGTGATCCATGAAGTCACGGTATTGATGCTGAGATGGGAAGAGTTTGTGAAATATGAAATTATGGGAAAAAAATGAGGAAAAAACAGAAATAGGTAGTAAAATAAACATGGGTTTGTGTTGGTGTTAAATCTGTAAGCACAACGCTTTCTAAGTAATTGTGACACGCAGAATACAAACACAAGGTTGTCATTTTCTTTTCTATGATATGTGACTGCTCATCCTTTCATGTTGTTTAGTGACATTGTACCTAAAAGTATTGTATATTCTTGTTTTTGAAGCTGGTATTATCAAATCATATTCCATGTAACCTCCTCGATCTTTTCCCACATTCTCTATAATATCCTAGAGCCATAATAGAAGTTTGAAATTGTTTCCTTTGTCTATGTGCAGGGAGAACATATGAAGTGTGTAAAAGAAAAAAGCATAAACAGGAGGAGGCGATGCAAGACATTGACTACTACGGGGATGATTCAATGTCTGAATTTGATTATGACTTCCGCCCTAAGTCAGATTCAGAATCTGTAAGCTGGAGTGCAGAATCCGAAAGCATGACTAGTGAAGTTGTTGCCTTGCACGAGGAAAATAAGAAGAAAAAACAAATGGAGATGGAAAAACAAACGGGAAGGAAAAAGATGTAAGGGTATGCACTATTTGTTTTTAACGCAACCTAAATATTGTAATTTGTACTTTAATATTGTAATTTGTTTTAATGCAACTTTAATATTGTAATTTGTACTTTATATGGCATTTGAAGAAGTAATTAATGCAACATTGCATGCTTGATATGTGTAGGAACCGAGCCAGGATGCAAAGGGTGATCACTTTATAAAAAAAACCCTCGGATAGCTAGAGTGAAACCGAATCGTGGTACAGAGAAACTTGATCCTGCTGTATTTGTGGTGAGTGCATCTTTTGTCACGTATAATATTAACTTATATTGTCATTTTATTAACTTACACTGTCATTTTGTTAACTGATTAACTAATACTGTCATTTTATTAACAAATATTGGTTATTTAACTTATTAAAAGGACAATATAAGTTTATTACAATATTGCTTATTTTATTATGTGCATGTTAAGCCTCTTACTTATTTTAATTTAAGTGCATACTCTTACTCTTTCTTTCACTTCTTTTGTTTATTGTAATAGGATAATTCGAAAAGTGTGGGAGGACAAGTAAAAGAGGCGAGCAAAGTTATAGCAACCTTTTACGAGCATAAGAAGGTGAATAGTCGTTTTTTTAACCATTTGTAATATTTTAGATTGTTGAGTTCTAAATGTGGAGGTATAACTTTTGTTGTCTTTTTCCCTTTTGAAGGCAATGTCGAATGTCAATTGTGCCATTGAGACTTTAGGGAGGGTTGTTGTTACATTTAACAAAACCAAAAGGGGAACTGTTACAAAAATAGGGTTTGGAAAACTGCTCTATGCTTCCGAGAAAAGTCTTCCACGACACTTATCGTACTGGATCAGTACAAGACTAGATGTGAAGAATAAAATGTTGGTGGCCGTCGATGGACAACAAATTCGGTTGAACGCAATCCAGGTGCATTGGGTTCTTGGCCTTCCAAAGGGGAATAAAGCACTTCCGATAAAAGTTGTCGATAAGGCTTTAAAGGACCATTTGTATGACAAGTATATCACACCTATGGGGCGCAACACTACCGGAATTTATAGGAGTACTCTCGTACAAGTAGTTGAGGCCCCGTTAGTTGACGAGGGTGAGTTTAAGAAGGTTTTTGTCATGTTGGTGCTAAACATTCTATGTTCAACAACTTGTCATAGAGTGATCAAGAAGCAGATGCGCCTATTTGTCTTGGCTGACAAAGCAGAGAAGTATGATTGGTGTACAGTAGTGTTGGATGAGTTGCTCCATGCGCTAGGTAGTTTCAGTAAGAGGTTCTATGCGAAAGGGTGGGCTCCTTGTCTCGGTGGCTGTACATATTTTTTGTCGGTAAGCATACGATTTTTTTCTTTTCAAAATTCATAATTTTTTAATTTACATTAAATTGATATCATTTTTTTTTATAAATGCATACAAGAGAATTCTAAGGTGGTGACCTCTAAAGTTTATGCCACTTGGTTTACATTTTGCGTTTGAAAATAATAGTAGGGTGGGTGTTATGATTAATTGATTACTATATTTTCCTTTTAATTTCCTATTATAATTCACAATTTCATATTATAATTAATAAATTCATATTACAATTGAGTAACTTGAGTGCCCTTTAGTTTATGAGAGTGAGTTCAACAAGATTTTAATGCAAGTGCATACTCTTATAAATGCAAATCTTGTATTTAGATAGAGACTTTAATGCAAGTGCATACTCTTCTAGTATATTGGGATGTGTTCGTACGAATTAAATGTGGACCACGGAGGAGATGAAGAAAGCGGAAAAGGATAATAAGTTACCTAGTGGAGATTTTGGGAAACTTGGGGTAAGTGTTGTTCAACTTATAAATAATATATTATTTATTGAGTACTAATACATGTTGAAATTAGGGTGAATGCATAATACACTAAGTTAATACTAATACTAATACATGTTGTTCCGGGTGTAGTTCCGAAGCCTAGATGGTGACTGGATCTGGAAGCTGGTTGGGATTACCTGCACAATAGACGGTGATTATGCCCTGGGGGTGGCTTCGAGGAACCCCCCTCCGATGCTTAAGTTAGTAAGGTTCCGGGTGAATAATAATGGATAGGTGATAAAATGAATGTGTCTAACCTCTTTTCCGTTGTACTTAGGTTGCTATTTATAGTTGTACTATTCTTGGTGTTGCAAGCTGAGGCCTGCTGGGGTCAGTCATGAGGCTGAGTCCCTGAGAGATCGATCCTGACTCCGAGGTGGAGCCTGCTGGGGTTAGCCATGAAGTTGAGCCCCTAGGAGATTTTTTCTAGCCTCGGGCTGGACTGGCACGAGTGCGCACCTCTTAAGTGGTGCTGGGAGCATAGGTCAGCTTAGCGGGAGCTACCCCGTACAACTAGCCCCTCTAGAGGTGGTCTGAGGCACTCAAGCCAGCTCTTGTTGACTAGAGACGTTCTTCTGGGAAGAGCTCTGCCGAGGCTACCCCATACAACTAGCCACCCAAAAGGTGGTACGAGGGATTCGTGTCAGCTCTTCCAAACTTTTATTGGGTCATTACTTGGCTCAATTTACTAATCGAGATCCTCTTTATACAACTAGTCCCCCTTGAGTCTCATATCTGCAATCAGCTGATTTGAGGCTAAGAGAGTTCTGCTAGTGAGGTGCATCATGCTGAATTTGTCAAGGTGAGGAGCGTGGATTACTCCCGCTGAAGTTATGCCAAAGTGGCGAGCTGAGGCCGAGCGAGGAGCTTTGATTACCCCGCTGAAGTTATTTCAAAGCAACGAGCTAAGGCTGAGCGAGGAGCTTTGATTACTCCCGCTGAAGTTATTTCAAAGCAACGAGCCGAGGCTGAGGGAGGAGCTTTGATTACTCCCGCTGAAGTTGTTTCAAAGCGACGAGCTGAGGCCGAGCAAGGAGCTTTGATTACTCCCGCTGAAGTTATTTTAAAGCAACGAGCTAAAGCTGAGCGAGGAGCTTTGATTACTCCCGCTGAAGTTATTTCAAAGCAACGAGTTGAGGCTGAGCGAGGAGCTTTGATTACTCCTGCTGAAGTTATTTCAAAGCAACGAGCTAAGGCTAAGCGAGGAGCTCTTTTTTTTTTTCGACGTGGCCCTGCTTAGTGTGTTGGTTACCTCCCTTTGTTAGGTAAGTAACTGTCATTTAATGCTGGTACTCAATTTCCCCTCTGTTCTTTTCGTATTCTATGTTTTCACTATTGTGTTTTTCATTTTAATTTTGAATTTTTTCTCCTCTATCCTTTCTCATTCATTCACTCGCCTTTTCAAAGTTACCTTCCTTTCGCTCCAACTTCCAACTTCTCTTCACTCCATCCCCTTCTCTCGTAGTTCTGCAATTTATTTGGGTGCCACTCGCCGCAAGTTCGCCATGAATTACGCTTTGGTTGCCTCATATTTGTTGCTCGTTCATCAAAAGTTATCATCTTTTAACCATCTTCCGCCATTGTTGTACTTCCTTTGTTGAATTGAGTATATTTTTTCCTAAAGATTGCCCTTTTTTCTTTTTATCGTGTTGTTAATTTGCCCTTGTATACTTTTTTTTTTGTTCCAAGACCAATTCTTACCTTGTTGTTGTAGTAATTTCTCATCGTCGTTGTACTCGTACGGTTTATTCTTTGATTTGTTCTTCTGTCGCCCCCTTCTTCCTTTTTCTTTTCTTCTTGTTTAATCTCTTCATTGGAAATTTGTGTTCTTTTTCTTTTTCCAAGTTTTGATTTTTTTTTGCTATGTCGGACGCTTTTGATAGTCAGAATGACTCCTCCCGCTCTTACGACGTTGGTGGCGAGTCCGAGTCTACTTCCTCTTCCGAGTCGACTCGCTCAAGTGAGCCTTCTAGGCCATATGTCCCTTTTTCTTCTCCTATTTCTTGTTCCCCTTTGCAAGTTGTGTTTCCTCTCAACTACAACGTTCCATCGGGAAGTGTGCCCGTCGCTGGCGCTTTTGCTTGTGTTGTTGAGCCTAGCGGCGGGCGCTCTAACCCTAGCACGTTTCATCCTTACCTTCGTGGTAGGTTGCGCAGCGATACTTTTGACCCTTATTGCGAGAGGGTTTTGATGACCAGGGGGGTTGCATTGCCTCACTTGCTGCGTATGCGGCTGCGTGCTGCTCGTCATGCACAACTGGCAGCTGAGGGCTAACCTTCTTGCTGATGCCCCTAGGAGCCCTTTTCCTCATGCACTTCCTTTGCGTGAATTTTCTTGGTTGGACGATATATCTGATGTGCACCGTTTTGACCATTATGTAGAGCGCAACTCTACTCTTGTCGATACCTCTGGCTGCTCCTCAAACTCAATCTCCGTGAACGCTTGTCAGCCCTGGTACGTAGATGAGGTGGTCCCTCTAGGTGATTCCACCTTTTATTTGGATGACAAAGCTGATGGCCTCGTCTTTGCTCCCTGAATTCTGAGTGGCGGATGCTGGCTGCCCGCTTAAAGGTGGCCGAGTGCAGTAACACCTTCTACGGGATGGGAGAAGGTTATGAGCTGGTGCTGCCCAAAGCTGGGTCCAGCCTTGTCAACCCTCTAGTGGGTCACATTGCCGCTTTTGCTTCCCAGCTGAATGTGGGACTAAGGTTTCCTTTAGATCCAACTTTGGACAAGATGCTGCGTGCCTTTAACATTCCTCTTTCCTTGATTCTGCCCGCGTCTCTGCATACACTGATATGCTTGCTTTGGACGGTGCGTTACAAACGCTTTCCAGAGTCTCTGCCTCTGTTTCATCAGTTATTTAGCTTTAAACGGAGTGCTTCAGATGCTAACTCAGGCTGGTTTTATCTTGCGCCTAAACCTAAAAGAGTTTTGTCTTACCCCAAACTAGGCCGCTTCAGGGATTGGTAGGGCAAATTCTTTTGGCTGCATGTTCCGGTTGACTTTGGGTGCCCTCGCTCTTTTTTGCTGTGTTATATCAAATTTGGGGGGGCGTCACTCTGCAGGTAGCCGACGCTGCCAAAGAAGCTCAGGCCTTTGATCATTTTGAGGGTGAGTCCTATTCTCCCAAAACATGGCTTCCCAATGGGTTATATGTTATAGGGAATGCTAAGCTCTCTGCCATGCGTTTATGCTCGACCCATGAGTCTGTTGAGATTCTTTTTGCCTCACAGTTATTTCTGCTTCCTTCTACTTCTCTCCCTATGATACTATGACTGATTTGTTTTCCTTCTTTTTAGGCTATGACAAATTGGATAAGGCATTGCTGGGTGTGGATGATACTTGGAAGCCCCTTGTCAAGACTCCAAGATATCCCTCCTTCCCCCTTAAAGTGTTAGAGGTTTATGTCACTGCCCGCCTGGGTGAGTCATGCCCAGTCCCTGAGTTTAGACTCTACCATTGCTAGAGCCTCTACCCGCTCTACTCCCACTACTCGGGCAGAGATTGAGCCTGAAGTTTCTACTGCTGGTAGTGATCAAGTTAGGGGGAATGCTAAGTCCCCCCAAATGTCTGGGTCGTTGATGGTGCCAAGTTCTTCGGCTACGGTCTCCGGTCGGTGGACAACCCAGACTTTTGATGAGAATAAGGATGAGGTCTGTAATCGTGAAATCCCTGATGCTGCAGAAACCTTAGACGGCACAGGCCACAACAATAATGAGTTTACATATTCTCTACTTAACGCTGTATCTTTTGACACTTTGACCGTTGTTGGTGCTGGTAGAGTAACTGAGTCTATGCAAGTTGATGCATCTTCTAGGCTTGAACCATAGGGTTCTATTTCAATAAGGCATGTTCTGCTCTTTACTAATGAAGCTTCACTTCTTGTTTCAGAGAGTCAACCTCTCCCTTCCTCTACTTCTACCGAGCATGTTTTGCTCGAACTTCTACTACTGGAGGCTTGACTGTTGAGCTCTCTGCTTCTACTTATGTATTTTCTGGCGCTACTGTAACTCACAACCCTATTTCTCAGATAAGGTATTAATGTGATCGTCTGTGTAGCCGTCATCGTGGTGGGCACACGCCCACCACTTCTAGCAGAGAGAGCCCTACCCCCATTATTGACTTGGAGCCTATTTCTCCTCCACGTGAGCCTTCTCCCAAAAGGGCCAGAGTTCCCATTGTGGACGAGCTGTTTGCTTCAGCTTCTTGTCAATATGAGCCTATGAGCGCGCTCAAGGTGGGGCTGCTCCTGCTTCCAGTGAACTTAATCGCTGCGCGAATCAATTTTTTGGGGAGACTTACACTCATCCCTTCTCTGTTTCTTCTAAATCCTCAGACAGGGTTTTTAAGGCAGCTGGCCCTTTAGAGTTTTCTAAAGTGCATATTAACGCAGCTCTGAGGCCTGCACTGCGTCCGTCTAGGGTTGCTGACGAGCCTTTCTACTCTACCCTGAATGTTAGGTCTGACAAATCTATTTTCCTTAACGACCTTCTTCAGGGAGGTACTATGGGGTATAGGTTGACTTAGGGCATCCGGCTCCTCGCTAACCTTGGGAACCAGTATGTCAGCGTGCCTGCTGCCGTTGCCTGCCATGACCTACAAAAGGTATCGTTTTACTTGCTTCTTGCTTTCCTTTATTTTACGAGGTTTTTACTTATTTGTTTTCTTTTCATTATTCTTTAATTTTTATTGTCTTTGTTCCCTTCTTTGGTGGCTGCCCAGCTCGCTCGCTCTATTGGTGATCTGGCTAATGCTTTGCTCACTGTTGAGAAAGGTTACCAGTCTCAAAGTTCGAGCTTAAATGAAAAGGTTGATGATCTGGAGCAAGTTTAGAACGAGAAGGCAGAGCTGGAGCGTGGGTTGGGGGAGAAGGATGATGCGCTATGCGCTGCTCAACTCCAATTAGCTAAATACCTCCCTGTTGCTCAGAAGCTGGCTCAGCACGAAGATGAGCTAAAAAGGGTTCAGGCCCAAGTGCAGAATTTGGAAGCAATGGTAGCTCGCTTAGAGGGAGACCGTACCGCAGAGCTTAATGCAGCTCGCAGGGATGCCTTGGTGGAGTTTGTTTCCTCTCAGACCTTTGCAAACTTGGTCACAGACAAGCATGATGGAGGCTGCACGCAGAAGTGCTGGTGAGGAGCATCAGGTGAAGTTTGAGCAGTTTTGGAGCAGGGTTGATCAACCAAGATGCTTATGTGTATCTCGCTCATAACCCTCGTGTTGCCGCTTGTGGCATTCCAGACCATGCTGTTCTCAATAAGGTCCATGCTGAGTCTCCTGACCTTGCTGCTGCCATTGGGGTAGAGGCCCTTCCTGCCAACCAATAAAGGTTTTGGCGGCCATCTCCCTGTTCTTCCAGTGGCTCATCTGAGTACCCCTCTCCCCGCTCTGTAATAAGTTTATGTTTTTTGCTTTCTTCCATTTGGGTGTATAGCCGCCAGTGGTTGTGTAGGTTTTTAAGGCATGTACTTGCCTTGGCTATTTTCCAGAACTTTTTATCTTTTCTTCGTTTGTTAAAGACAATACTTTTGTGCCTTTGGAATTTGCACTTTGCAATTTGCTTTGTCTTACTTGCTTTAACTTTTAGCTCCTTTCTTCTCTTTTGGTTGCGCATTTTTTTATTGTGTATTTCTGCTTGATGTGTGCTGGGTTCAGTTATCCGAAGGAGAGGGTACTCCTCTTTTCGCTGTTTGGAGTTTCCCCCCTTCCTAGCTGACACTGTTGCCCCCTTGACTGCACTGTTGGCTACCATTACCTACTAGCGCTCTTAGGCTTGGTTTATTTAGGCAAACTGTTACTTCAGGTGTCCCTATTGTAATAATTTCCTTCCAAGGCTGAAAACACCCCCAGCGCAGGATTGTGGCCTTCTTGTTTGCGTTTTCTTGCCCGTCCCCTGCTTCTTGGGCGGGGCTTGGGGCTTTTATGCCGCCACTTTATTTTAGTGCGGTTTAATTTTTATGCCTCTGTTTCTTATGAACTGGGTTTCTACCTTCGCTTTATTGTAGCAAGGCTTTAATGAGGCGAACATGTTGTTTTCTATTTTGCTTAGCTCGTGCTGGGTTTGCCTTATTATAGCCCTGCTTGCTCTGGCAGAAACATATAATCCTTTGCTAACAAACAAGTAAGTAATGCAATAAAATATTATATTTAGGGAAAGGCCTCACGCAGAGGTTAAATATTCCATCGATAATGTGAAACGCCTCACGCAGAGGTTAATGTTCCTCTTCTTTAAAATTACAACTTATCGGAAATAAAGCTTAGACGACTCCTTCATTTATAGCTAAACAAAATGCTAAAGAAAAACATGAAATTATGTGAATAACCTCTTTAGGACGTCAGCATTTAATCTGTTCCTCAAGATGCAACCATCCTAATTAGAGAGTAGGTAGGCCCCTGGCCCTACCTGCTTGTGTATTATGAAGGGTCCTTCCCAATTCGCGCTCAACTTTCCATGTAGCTTTCCTCTACACACAACAGCTGTTCTTCTCAGTACTAAGTCCCCTTCACTGAGTTCTCTATGCCTTACTCTTCTATTGTAGACTTGGCCATTCTGCTTTTCTGAGCAGCTAACTTTAGGGCAGCCTTCAACCTGACTTCTGGTAGGAGATCTAACTCCCCTCTCATTCTGTCCTCGTTCTTTTGACTGTCATAGTGTTGTACTCTTAAACTTGGGAGTTGCACTTCTGTTTCGGGGTGTTTTGAGATGTCCTACGGGAGAGTTACAGCACCGGGAATGTACGCCTGACGTCTGCACCTGCAAAACCACGAAACTCCGGTTGGGTGGAGTTCCACCTCCGAAGGTCAAGTTAGTATGATTTCGGATGTGTATACGTGCGGAAAGTAAACTGGTTCTCTCGGATTCCGAGAGATTCCGCAATTAATATTGCTCTGGTTTTGTGTGTATTTATGAATCCCAATAAATGAGGTAGATTCCTCTATTTATAGCAGATGAGGGTCTCCTCCCCCATTGGGGGTACAATGCCACGTGGCATCCATTGGTTGGATGCCCATGGTGCTTTAGGGAGGTGACACGTGGCAGGTCCTTATTGGGCCACATGTCTAAGGTAATTTTTACCCAAAACATTTGCCCCTCACGGGTGCTGACGTGGCTATGCCACGTGGCACCTGTGACACGTGCCAACTGGGCAGGAGGGCGGCGGTTCGCCTCCTTCCCTCTTTTTTCAAATTTTAAACTAAGGGGGGAAGAGGAGGTGACGGTTCACCTTCTGAGATTTCCTATAAATAGGAATCTCCCTCCTTTCATTTCTCACTTTGCCATTTTTGAGAGAAATTTCTTGAGAGAAAAAGCGAGAGCTCCTGACCCCGCCTGCTTGCTCGTGCAAACAGCCTTTAACTTCCAAACGTCCGGATACCGCTTGAGTTACATAGCCCGTCTCACTAAGGTATCCTTCTGACTTAATCGGTCTTTTTAGTTGGATGTTTGATTATGCTGCAACCGGCTTTTGCCGTCTGGAGCTTTTTTAGGCAATTTTTTTTATAAATTGCGTCTATTGAAAATCTCAACCGGTGTAAACCGTTTGAGTTATCGTTAGGCACTCTCATTGAAGGGTTGCATTCAATAGACCCTCAGCCGGTTTACACCGTCTGGGGCATCAAACAAGCAATCTCATTGGTGAGTTGCATTCGGTAGGTCCTCAGCCGGTGTAAACCGTCTGAGGTATCTTCAAGCAATCTCATTGGTGAGTTGCATTCAATAGAACCGTCTGAGGTATCTTCAAGCAATCTCATTGGTGAGTTGCATTCAATAGACCCTCAGCCGGTGTTAACCGTCTGAGGTATCTTCAAGCAATCTCATTAGTGAGTTGCATTCAGTAGACCCTCAGCCGGTGTAAACCGTCTGAGGTATCTTCAAGCAATCTCATTGGTGAGTTGCATTCAACAGGTCCTCAGCCGGTGTAAACCGTCTGAGGTATCTTTGATCAAACTTTCTTTTGATCTGCATTGCTGTTACCTCAGCCTGTTTCACACCCTCTAGGGGGTGAGCAAGCAATTTCCTCCTAAACTGTTTTGCTAGAACCCCCAACCGGTCTTTTACCGCCTAAGGTGGCTTCAAACAGTTTTCGTTTTAACGGATACGCAACCGGCCTTCAGGCCGCCTGTGTTGATTCCGTTCAATTCTTTTTGAGCTGTCCTCTTGCGAGCCTCAGCCGGTGTATACCGTCTGTGGGGTCTTTGGACAATCTGATAAAATTCCAGATTATTTGCTTCTGTAAATCTACCCCAACCGGCCTTTCCCGCCTGTGGTATCTTTGGGCAACATTGGTGATTAATTTTCCCTTCTTTTGCCAATTTGCAGTTTGCTCAAAGTGATACCGTGTGGGGTATCTTTGGTCAACAGCCGTTCAACTCCTTTCTCCAAACTTTTGTTCAATCTCAAGGTAACGTCTTGGTTCCTTGTCTTTTTGGAGTTTATTTTTGAATCTTTTGGCTGTACATACCTTAGAATAATGACCTCACCCATCACACACACGGCACACCACAATTTAGAGGTCAGCCGGTCTCCTGGTACGGCTGAGTCTAGGACTGGGGGTGCCGCCTCTAGGTACGGGGAGTCTCCTTGTTCATCTCCGAAATCGACCGTCTCTGTCTCTGTGCAGGACGAAATGGCTCGCACAAAAAAGACTGCCTTCGACCCAGAGTACAGAGAAGTAGACTCTGGCGAGCTGCCGCCTGACCCTAATGAGGCAGAGGTGACAAGGGGTTCACCGCATGGCACCCTAAGCACTCCCAGTGATGGGATTTTAGGAATGGATCAGGGAGGCGGTGAAGATACCGCCTCACCCACTAGAGTCGAGTTGGAACACCAAGAAAGGGATGCCAGCGACAACGAGGCCGCCTCCTCATCCGGTAGAGAGCAGAGTGGCAGTAGCAGCAGCCTCTTGACGCCGGATGCTGATAGTGAGGCGGAGGAGAGGCCTAATTGGAATAATAAAGGCGACCCTTTCCTCATCGCCGTTTCTGCCAAGGATAGGGCTAGCATGGCCAATAACTTGGAGGACTTCATAAAGATTCGTCCTCTTGGGAAGAAATGGAAAATAATCGTGCCGCCTGAGATGGGCACTATTGTTTGGGAAGATGAGCAGCCCAATGCAAACGGGTATTTTGGCTGCTATGAAGCGGCGTTTCTGGCTGGCCTCCTCTTCCCCCTTCATAACACAATAAAGGCCATCCTTCAAGGGTACGGCCTGGGCATTTGGCAGTTAACCCCCAATTCTTGGGTTAACATTTTGGGTTATATTGCCGCCTGCGAGATGCAGGAAATCAACCCCGGCTGGGAGGCCTTTGTTCACATGCATTACTTGAGCAGAAGTCCAGGCGGTTGGAGGGCCTGGTACACATTGACCACCTATCCCCAGTACCTGATGACCTTAGACAAACCGTCTAAGTGGTCAGACTAGAAGAACAAGTTCTACTTGGTCTCCGCCCCCACTTAGGAGGAAAACCGGGAGTATAGGACATACAACCGGTAGCCAAACCTTCTGGGCCACAAGTGCAAGAAGCCTCGTATCCCGGATGGGGACTACGAGCGAATAATCGAGTCTAAGTTCTTTGAACAGACTACAACAACCCTCTCCAATGGGGAGTTAATAAGTGTACCTAGAAATTGGGTACCCAGGCACGAATTTCTTCGAGACGAGGCGTTTCTGTCCGTCTGTAAGCTTACCACTCAGTTTGATAAACGTAGGTCACATTAGAGATTGCCCCTATTTTATTTTGCAATAACTCATTCCTTGTTTGGTCTGTTTTTCTGACCGGATGGGTTCTTTTATGCAGTGCGTGGACTAGCTATGCTGCCTGCTGACAAGAAACCTGCTGAAATCCGCAAGGCTAATGCGGAGAAGAAGCTTGCTGCCCAGGCAGCGAAAAATAAGGTATCTTGCTTTTTCCTTTTCTTTTTACATCAATTTCCGTTTGACTTCTATGCCGCCTGATCCCTGTGCTTGTTTTTCAGGATGGGAGCAAGGTGCCCCATTCCATTTCCAAATTAATAAGGCCTCGGCCTGGAGAGGAGCCGCCTATCCACAATAAGGCTAGGAAGACCTCCTCCTCGACAGTACCCAGCCGTTTGACGGTTGGGGGTAAATCTGTCAAAAACCTCGGCCTGGGGTTTGATCTAACGACGAGGCAGCCAGATGTTCCTGAGAAGGAGACGGCGCCGCCTAGGGCATCCGGCGCTTCTGAACCGGCTGAGGGCAGTTGCGACCCTCTGCCTACATCCCAAGGTATTATTGACCCCTTCAACCCTTCTTTGCTTGGCAAGCCTATGCGGGTCAAGTCGCACTCCCAGCTCCAGCCAGAAGACTCTTCTGGCAGCCGGCAGCCGATAGGAGGGAAGAATGTTGCCTTCTCACCATCTTTTTCTGGTGCAGATCACTTCCCTCGCTGGCCGGATGTACAGAGGTACGCTCGGGCCATACTGAAGGCCGTACCCAAAGAAGAGAAAGAGGCGATCCCAGGGATCCACACCTTCAATGCCGACCAGGTTCTGGCCGGACTGTCTAAGGTACATAATCTTCCAATTTGTTTAAGTTATTATGCCGCCTGACCCTTTCTGACACCGCTTGGGCTTTTATAGTCAATGCTGCGCGTGGAGGGGCTCAAGAAAGCCTACGCTCGCAAGTGTGAGGAGGTAAGACTGGCTAAACGGGATGCGTCTGACGCCCATAACGTTGCCCAGTATTCCATGATTATGCATGAATTAAAAACTAAAAGCATAATCATGCAACAGGCGGACTCCATCAAAACCCTCCAAAAATCTCTCGATGAGGCCCACACCAAGATTTTCAACATACAGGCGGCCAAAGAGAATGCTGAGGCGGAGTTGAAGAAGGTGACCGACTCTTCCAAACTTCTAGAGGTGGCCAGGAAGGAGAATACAAATCTCCTAGCCGATAACGTCCGTTTGAAGGAGGCGGCAGCCAAGGCCAGCAACAATTTCAAGGCTACGTTGGAGGCTGAACAGAGTCGGCTCATTGAAGAGAATGAGCAAGACTGCGTCGCTCGAATGCAAAAGGCTTGGTCCCTGGTTCATCCGGACACGGAGTACACCGTCTGGGAACTTGCCTACAAATACGCTGATCTTGCCATTGAGGCCGAGGAATCGCAGCAGCCGGCTCCAGAGCCTTATGAGGAGTGGGTCCAGAAGCAAATCGAGGCCATGCAAGCGGAGATCGACTCATAAGGGGGAGAGAAACAAGAAGAGATTGTCCCTCCTGCCCCAGGTGCCGCCTCGCAGGGCCAGGATCAGCCTCCGCCTTAGCCATAAGCTCTTGTCTTCTAATTTTCCGGCCTGCGTGCCGTGTGCTTTTATTATATTTTTTACCGGAAAGGGGTCCGGCTAACATTTGAACAAATTTTGATGTTAATATGATTTTATGCCGATTGAGTCGGTCATCTTTGCAACACTTGTTCTATTTTTTCCCTTGTTTGCTTTTCATTGTTTGCTTGCTTTTTTTTTTTTTTTTTTTTTTTGTAAAATGACATTGCTGGATGCGTTGACTATGCCTGCCCCTGGGTGGGTGGTTGTTTAGTGCAAACACTAAGCAAATAGCCGCCCATACATATCCAATACCTAACCGGTCTAGGTCAGGCGGGTTTTGGTCAGGCGCATGTTAAGGCGTTGATTGCCGCTTGAGTAGTGCTTAGAGAGAATGAAATTGGGGTCTATGCGACCGCTTGTGCAAGAAGTAGACTTGGGGTAACAGCCATATGGAATCTTCCAAAATTAATGGGAAGTAAACTTGATAGAATTATCGCCGCCTTAGTTGCCTTGGAGCAAAGAAGGCTACAGCTTGACATGTAATCTCACCGGCTGGGGTACCTTGGGGTAACAGTCAGTGAAGATCTGTTAAAAGTTGGTTAGTGGGCGCATAAGCCGGCTGGGTTGCTTTTTGGCAATAGCCGACTACCCAACAAAATTCAGCTTTGCCGTTTGTATTGCCCTAGGGCAATAAACGGCTCTATCTTGTTTGCAATTGGTCAATCGAACGGTCATGAACTTAACCTAGCCGGCTAAGACCGTCCGACTTTTCTGACGCTTAGAACAATGTACCACCCGGAGGGAGATGTTCTCTTCGACAAATTCACCCGGAAGGGCGTTGCCGAATGCCTGTTCGGGGGTAAAGCAGACGGTTTAAATATGTCGTCTCTGTGCCTTTTAAACGGCTAAGTTAGGTACTTAGCATTTCGCTTTTAGTTTGGGCAAACGGATGCCTGGTCGTGCATTGCACAGGTAGGTTTTTAGAAAATGCCCGTAAATGTTCGTTCACATTGGGACCTTGGTGTACAAAAAGAAATTGAAATAAAGAATTTCTCTCATTCATTTACTCTATTTACAAAAAATGATCTCCCTAGAAGTAGTACATCTTTAAGTTATCTACATTTCAGGTTCTAGGTAGCTTTCTATCGTCTGGGGTTTCCAGGCGTTAGGTGCCGCCTTTGACTTCGTCATAAATCCGGTAGGGGCCTTCCCAATTGGGGGTCAGCTTCCCTTGCTCATTTGCCCTGCCAGTGGCTTCCATTTTTCGTAGTACGAAGTACCCAACTTTGAGAGGGCGCTTGCATACTCTCTTGTTGTAAGCCCTCGTCATTCTCAGACGGTATATTTCATGGCGCAAGGCGGCGTTGCCTCTGCGTTCTGGGAGTGAATCCAATGCTAGGCGCATGGCCTCCCAGTTAGCCTCCTCATCATAGAGCATGACTCGGAGTGTTGGCTCATAGAGTTCAATTGGCAAAACCGCTTCAGTGCCGTATGTCATTAGAAACGGGGTTTTATCGGTTGCCCCCTTTTCGGTTGTTCTGATGGCCCAAAGGACGTGAGGGAACTCGTCCGCTCAAAGACCACCGACTCTTTCGATCTTCTTTTTAATGCCGCCAGAGATGAGTTTGTTGAAGGCTTCAACCTAACCGTTTGCTTGGGGCCGGCCAACAGATGCAAAACAATGCGAGATCCCCTGATCTCCCAACCAATCTTTGAGGGCATGCGTTTCAAACTGAGGACCGTTGTCAAAAACCATAGACATAGGCACCCCAAACCGGGTGATGATGTTTCTCCAAATAAAGGAGATGACGTCCTTTGTCTTGATGCCTTTGACCGCCTCAACCTCAACCCACTTAGTGAAGTAATCTACAGCCACCAGAATATATCTTCTGCCGCCCGAGGCAGGCGTATAAGGACCCAAGATGTCCATGCCCCATTTTGCAAAGGGAACAGGGCTGTAGATAGCCGTCAGATCGGTTGTCGGACGGTGTATGAGCCGACCAAACTTCTGACACTTGTCACACTTTTTCACTAAGTCCATGGCATCCGCCTCAAGAGTAGGCTAAAAATAGCCTTGCCTTCTGGTCTCTTTGCTAAAGTCCTGCCGCCTATGTGTGAAGCACAAAAGCCCGCATGCAGATCCTCTAACACCTCTCTTCCCCTTTCTGGGGTAACGCACTTCAGCAACGGCTGGAGGTAACCCTTTCTGAAGAGTTCCCCCTTGAACATTTCAAAGCTTAGAGCTCGCTTTTTAAGCGCTGTCGCTTCTGATGAGGCATCCGGCAGGGTGCCGTCTACCAAATAATCCTGGATGGGGTCCATCTAGGTGGAGCTTCGGTCTAAGATTCCAATGGGATCATGCTCAATGCTTCTTTTTTCCATGACTTCCCAAAAGACTGACCTAGGCGTATCACAGGTGGCGGATGAGGCCAGCTTGGACAAAGCATCCGCCTGGTTAATCTCGGACCGGGACACCTGACATAAATGGAACTCATCAAATGCCCCCGCCTCCTCTTTGACCGCCTGCAGGTATTTGATCATTGCCGGATGGGTGGCCTCGTAGTCACCATTGAATTGGCTGACAATCTTGCCCCTGCCGCCTTACACATGCGTATACCGGCTAGCAGGGCCTCATACTCAGCTTCATTGTTTGAAGCTTGGAATTTGAACCGTAGTGCATATTCGAATGTATCTCCTTCCGGAGATTTGCAAATTACGCCTACACCACAGCCGTTTACCGTAGAGCTTCCGTCTACAAATAACTTCCAAACCTGGCCGACATCTTCCGGCTGAGCCGACCTAGTCATTTCGACAATGAAGTTAGCAAACGCCTGACCCTTCACTGCCCGCCTAGGCTCAAAAGTTATTTCCAGGCTTTGAATTTTAACAGCCCACTTGATCATTCGGTCGAATGACTCCATGGTAGTCATTGGACGCTTGAGTGGCTGATCAGTATAGACAATCACTGGATGGGCCAAGAAGTATGGCTTCAGCCGCTTGACTGCTTTGTAGAGAGCCAACCCAAATTTTTCAATCATTGGGTACCAGAGCTCAGCGTTTCTGAGAATATGGCTGATGAAATACACCGGAAGCTGTTTGCCGTCTCTCTCAGCAAGGAGAACGGCACTGAGGGAGTGATCTGAGACGGCTAGGTACATGTAGAGAACCTCCTTGGGAAGGGGGCTCACTAGTCTGGGCAACGAGTGCAGGTGTTGTTTTAACCTTTGAAATGCCGCCTCAGCCTCTTCTCCCCATTCAAATCTGGACCTTTTCCTGATTGCCTTGAAGAAGTAAAGGCACTTGTCACCTGACCGGCTAAGGAATCTTCCTAATGCCGCCAGGCAACCGGTTAGGTTCTGGGCCTCCTTGATGGTTCGGGGTGATTGCATGTCAATCACCGCCTGGACCTTCTCCGGATTGGCCTCTATGCCTCTTTGATCAATCAAGAATCCGAGAAACTTCCCAGACTCAACACCAAAGACACACTTCTTGGGGTTAAGCATGACCTTGTGCCGCCTGAGTGTGGTGAAGGTTTCTTGGAGGTCAGTTAGGTGATCCGCCTGGAGCTTGGATTTGACTATCATGTCGTCTATATACGCCTCTACATTCCTTCTGATTTGATTGGTGAAAACCATGTTGATCATTCGTTGGAAAGTCGCAGGCGCATTCTTCAACCCAAACGACATCACCGTATAGCAGTACAACCCCTGATCAGTGACGAAGGCTGTCTTTTCTTGATCCTTCTTCCATAGGGGAATTTGATGGAAGCCTAAGTAGGCGTCCATGAAGCTCATCAGGGCATGGCCGGCTGTAGAGTCAACCAGACTGTCTATCTTAGGAAGCGGGTAGCTATCCTTTGGACATGTCCTGTTCAGATCTGTGTAATCTACACACATCCGCTAAGTACCATTCGGTTTTTTAACGAGGACAACATTGGCTACCCAATCCAGGTAATAGCATTGCCGGATGAACCCAGCGTCGAGGAGCTTTTTGACCTCGGCGGCTGCCGCCTGAGACCTCTCCTCGCCATGATCCCTCTTCTTTTGCCTAACTGGATTTATTTTGGGATCAACGACCAACTTGTGGACGGCTAGATCCCGGCTGACGCCTGACATCTCCTCCACTTCAAAAGCGAAGAGGTCTTTGAACTCTCTCAGAAGTTGGAGCAAGTCTGCCCCCAACTTTTCAAAAGCGACCGTCCCAACTTTAATTGTTCTGTCAGGACGGCTGTCGTCCAGGACGACATCAAGGCTTTCATCAGCCGGCTGGGGCCGGGAGTCGTCCGGCCTTTCCCCGGCTAGTGATTGCTATTTCATTTTTCTGGCGAGGGCCAATTGGTCCGCCTTTCTCTTGTACCGCCTGCCTTAGGGACATGCCCGACTTCTTTGTCATCGAGGTCGGTAGGTTCCTCGCTAGGGCCGGCTGCATGGGCAGTCGGCCTAACGTTTGAGAGATAGCACTCCCTAGCCGCCTTTTGGTCCCCGTTTAGGGAGCCTACTGACCTATCATCCCTCTCGAATTTTATCCGCATGAGAGAGGGGATGATTACCGCATTTGACTCATTGAGGGTCGGACGCCCCAATATGAGGTTGTAGGCAGTCAACTCTTCGACTACCAGAAACTTGACGACCATGTGCCGTCCTTCCCCCTTGCCTCCCAACCGTATGGGTAAGTCGATCCTACCTACCAGATGCACTACCCCACCTCCAAAGCCGACTAGGGGGTGGGGAGCTTTGTGCATACTGCTGAGCTTGTACTTTAGCGTCGCCAAGCAGCGATAGCTTATCAGGTCTGACGAGCTCCCGGTATCGATTAGGATCCGGCTAACTCGTTGATTGGCAACTTTACATTCGATGACGATGGGGTCATTGTGGGGCCGCCTGGTCGTACCCTGTCTTTCTCATAGATGAAGACCTATGGGAAGACGTCTTTCGACG